AGCTTTCTTAACCAATGAAAGCCTAAAATGTTAGCCTGACTGAAATGTGTTCTGCAACAAGTGATGTTTACTATACTTCACCCTCACTTTTTGCCATGTATTTTGTGTTCTGGCAAATGATCCTGATCTGTGGAGCTGACAGAAGTTGCATAACAGGTAGTGATGGACCTGGTACAAGGAACCAAAGATGAAGTATTATAAAAGATGTCTGATGTTACTTAAGGCATCTCTGAGTACATGATGAAGGATGGAGCTATGATTAGAAGACTTCTGACATTTCGGAAGATACAAACATCACTGCAGACTGAGAGGATGGTCCACAGGGAATGAATCCTAGCTGGAAGAAACTCTGGGGTAGCGGGGATGTTTTCACAGGAGCAACTGCTGTCAACAGGGAGAGACTTTAGACAAAAGTGGGCGAGGGGCTCTCTAAACTAGGACATTTGTTAAAATTTCCATGGATGTGACCTTCAACAGACTTCAGAAAAAATTTAAACCTCTTTCCAGTTTTTAAAAATATTGGATTAATTAGTCTTTTAAGACTGGTCTAGGAGTGGTCCCACTCTACTTGAGTTATATTCACAATGTCACACTGTGTTATTACACAGTTATGACACTTGATGAAAAACAGCATTGAATTTCCAACCCTAAATCCCAATCCACTATCATTCATAGCTGCTGATTTTAAACTAATTCTCTGAAGATTCTTCCGAAAAACTCTACGGAGTACAAGAATTTCCTGAATTCATTGCTTCTGGGGGTCTCAACTTCTTTACCGGCAAAGCTTTTCTAAAGTAAAAGTATGCATCTAATACTGTCAGTTTGTTACCTCTCTCAAGATCAAAATGCTAAATGAAAGGAAACCAGTAAGTACACATCCTCTAAGAATTTTTTTTTATTGGACAGACCTTTTTGTTTCACATCAGCAAATTTGTATTTTTTTTTAAGATTTTATTTATTTATTTGGCAGACAGAGATCACAAGTAGACAGAGAGGCAGGCAGAGAGAGAGGAGGAAGCAGGCTCCCTGCCGAGCAGAGAACCCCATGTGGGGCTCGATCCCAGGATCCTAGGATCATGACCTGAGCCGAAGGCAGAGGCTTTAACCCACTGAGCCACCCAGGCGCCCCCCAAATTTGTATTTTTAATCCTTTTTTATAAACATAAAAATTGTAATGATATTTGCTAAAATATGCTCTTCCTATAATCCATATGTGAGGCAGAGTCCCACCATAGAGGACCTCTGTGGTATCTATCCGGCGATGGTAAAGAATGAACTGGTATCAGATCAACTGCTGAGTCTATCATTTGTGAAATTAGGAAACAGATTTTCTTTGGCTGACTTCATGTCTTTTTTTTTTAAATCCTCACAAATGCAAACTACCCTTTCTTAGGTGGTAGGAAACCAGGTACAGAGGGAATCAATTACCCAAACTTTAATAGAAAGAAAAAAAAAAATCCTTCCACAGTTTAGGTAAATCGGCTTAACTAATAAGTAACTAATTAACTTTCCACTTTTAAGACCAAATTCAGCTCAAATCAGATGGTGTTTTGAACACCACCCAAGAACTGACAACCCCTCTGAAACCAGTAACTCTCAATTATAATTGAAGAAGGATATCAGAGCCTCCAGATGGTCTAAGGGACCTTCTCAAAATGCAAGGGTGAGATTTATGTGTGCCAGAAAGTCCTTACCAAACAAAAGAGGGGGGGTACTTGAAGTGAGGGGACTACCAGAAATGCAGCAATCCTACCTCCAATTGCCTCAAATATCACTACTATAGATAACATAAATTCAGAATCCCTATTCTAAATGAACTAATGTAGATGAGAATTTCAGTGGGAGTACCACGATTTCCCCCAAACCAGCTAGTATTTCTAGTCACTTGTTCTGTAGAACTCATTGCAATTAAATAATCTTGTGTCCCAGCACATCACCTTGTTTGGCACCAAATCACATGGTTTAAGTATGAAGATCCAAATGAGACTTTTCATTATAAATGCTTCCACTATCAAAGTGTGAAAACACATTTGAAAATGTGCCACATACTGTTACTGGGGGGAAAAGTCTTTACCCATTGCATCATTACCTTGAGTCTGACAACCGTCCTAAGCATAACATTTTAGAAGTGCTTGGTGATTTAATGTTTAAATTCCTTCCTGAATAGTCCACATTGAAAATACAGTGGATTAAGCTTAATTTCTCTAAAGTTTTCATCCAGTGGCTGCCACCTTTCATGTAGGTCAAACTACAGGTTTTTTACTAAAAAGTGAATCCTGCCAAAGCAGTTACATAATTCAAGTTAGAGCTAAGAAACCAAAGTTCGCAAGACTTTTTTCAGAATGTTAACATTTAGGCTCATAATTCTTTTCATTTTCATTTCATTTTTATGTGATCTTTTCTTTTTATAGATTTTCTCAGATGCTGGAAAGTTATCTGCTATTTCAAGGAATCACAAGTAGCACAAAAAACACTTCAGATATATCTAACCTATTGATAGAACTATACAGAAGTCAACTTTTCAGTTCAAGTTCCCTTTGAAATTACTCCACAGAAAGTCAAACAAAAATAAAAACAGAAATCTCTTGACAACCATTTTCTTTCAAAAATGTAAGAGACTCTCTATGTCTACCTTTCATGCATCAAGACTTGGTAGTAGCCAATGCTACAATGATTACCTACTTAGCATTCCATTTCTTTTCCTCCTTCATAACGAAGCCACTTCATTCAGGTTTCCACCCCTTCCCATCATTCTAAGACCAAGGGCTGGGCCCTAATTCATTCAAAACAACTTTGCCTTTAACTTCAACTTAATGGCAGTGAGGACATGGTATTCTCTAGGAGACTGTTACACTAGGCACAAGGATGCACACAACAGCTCGTCACCCACCACCCCTCCCCATCTTAAGGAAACTGAGTAACAGTGGCCCTCCCATGGCCTCCTAAATAAATCCCAAATTCAACATTCAAGGCTCTCTACTATTGTTTTACTGCTTTTTTAGCCCTTTCTCCTTTCCACACATCTCCTGCTCTAGCAGCTAGACACTTGGCCTTTCAAGAATATGCCCCTGCACTTTCCATTTCATAGCCTTTGCCCAGGCTGTTCCTTTGACTTGAAAAGAAGGCCTAACCACTCACATGTCAGCCAATTCAAATCCCACTCAAAGTTCGGATCAAAAGTAAACTTTTCTATCAAGTCTTCCTTGATATCACCAATAATAAATGGTACTCAAAATCCATTCCTTGTATTGTTAATCATTTTACATGCTTACAGCCTGTTTTAAAACAGCAGACTCCTTATGGGCTGCAATCTCTTATGCATCTTTGTCCTCCACCATCCCTCCCCACCAGACACCCAAATTCAGAAGGCAGCTCAGTAAACGTATGTTGAACAAATGAACATTATTGTTCATTTCTGAGGGTGAAAAGTACTTCTACAAAACAGATTATCATGAAGGCTGAGTTGTCCTTGGAAGTCTTTAAAAACACCCTAGGACAGCTGAGGAATAGTTCTGCTGAAGGAAAGGAAACAAATCAGATGACCTTGTAAGGTTGTTTCTGCAAATTACATCAACTCTTGAAAAGTACTGCCTAATAATTCAAAAACAGACTATACACAAATTTACAAAAAGAGCAGCATCTACAAAAAGAGCAGCATTTATTATAATAGATGAAGGTTAAGAACAAATTATTTTTACCAAAATTGCAGCATCTCTTATAATAATATTTATACCATTTTTCAGTTAAAACCAAGAAATTGTAAAAAAAAAAAAAAAAGCTCATTTACTCTAATTATTTCACACTTGAAAGAAGTAGGACAGAGAAAAATGCCAGCCACTTCAAATGGGCAACCAGACAAAATTAATTTGGAAGCACATACTCATGTCACTTAATTATTGTCTACACATCATCACCAAAAATATACCTACTGAACTCCAATAAAGTTACCTGCAATTTTGATGATTTCCTTCACTGGCATTTATGGAAAAAGTATACAAAATGTTGTATTCCTTTCTCCCCTACTAAATAAATTTGAACAATTTAAGTCGACTAAAATGAAGTTATTTCAAGATCCATGGGTACATTATCAGTTCAATTAAGGCCGCAAAACTATGGGAAACATATTGGTATCTCCAGAAACAAACAAGTTTAACCACAATATTCCATAAATCACTGAACCTGCTCTTTAAGTAAAACCTTTAGAATAAATCTCAATAAATCTCATCAATTAAACGGGACAGAAAACATTCCAAGGACAGTGCACTCACAAAAGAAAAAAGCACAGTATAAGATGAAAAATCAGATTAAATATGACTCTTCATAGACAATAAAATGTAAAAAAGATTAAATAGAGAGTAGAAAATGAAATAGTTTTTTTAAAAAACCATTAAAAAATTAAGCACACATTTAGTCTTTTTGTTCTAATACTGTTACACTCTGTATTTCTGTAAGCCAATTTAAATGCTTTGAGGAAGAAGCTAGAGTACAAAAACTATATTGTTTTCGAACACAGTGTAGCACACTGTATAGTTATTTTTAAAGTAAAGATCACATTTTCAGTCAAACCTGCATATGCTTGTTAAAGGTTATGATAAAGCTACAATTTAAAGTTTTCTCATTTATTTTAAAGGCACCTCTGTTTTTCCTGGAGCCGTCAGATAACGGAAACTGACTCCAAATACTGTTTCTCCCTGGACCCAGTAAGTGCGGGAGTGGTTATCTAAAAAGCACAGCGGGGTCAGAAGCAGGTCCGGGGTCCGCGGAAACCGAGAAGCGGGTGCAGTTATCTCTAGGATCTGGGACACCTGAGAAGCTCGGAGGGGGAGGGGGGACAGGGGCGCAGGCGGGACAGCAGCGCTGAGGGTGGGCGCGTGAGCCCCAGCCGAAAGCAACGAATATGGCCCCTGGCAAAGTTGGGTTCGCAGCACCTAGCACAGGTCACCCCCGGGCCCGCCGGCCCAGCCCGGCCCCACCGGGAGCAGAGGGCTCAGGCTACTCACCGTGCAGAGAGAGGAGCAGCAGAGGCGCCAGCGGAGAGCCCGGAGAAGTCATTCCGGGGCCGCGGGGAGCGCGCTCAACGCCCTCCCGGGTCCTCGTCGCGAAGGCGGAGACGCGGGCCGGGCTCTCGGCGCTCTTGGGGCAGCCGGGTCCGCCCGGCCGGGCCGGGACCGTGGGACGCGCAGCCGAGACAAGTGCAGCTCCCGCGCCTTGCCCCGCTCCGCAGACGCTGAGCTGCGACGAGGAGCGTCCCCGGCTCGCGGGCCTCGTCCCGCAGCGCCGCGGCCACCTCGCGCTGCCCCAGGACCCGACGGCCCGCCGCGCCGCCGGGGGAGCCACTCCCCCCCCAACTCTCGCCCAGCTAGTCCGGCAGCAGCCCGGCTCCACTCAGCTCCGCGCCGCCCACTCGCCCGGCTCGGTCTCCCGGGCAACCGCGGCTCCAGCGCGACGCCTGGCGGCCCACCCGCGGAGCGAGCGCGACGCGCAGCTGGCGCAGCCGCGGCCACCTGTGCGCGGTGCCGCCCACTCCCCGGCACGCAGCTGTGAGCGCCGCTGGGGACCGTCCGGAGGACGCCCTCCTGGCTTGCAGGCAAGGCCCACCCCTGCGGTGAACTTCTCAGCAGACAAGGGTGTCAGTCTTGATCCCCAGAGTCCGCTAGAAAGGACTTGTCACAACCTTCGTTGAGCAAGATTCTTTTCTGTTTTCAGATGATTTCTATTTGTCCATTTCCTCTCTTCTGTAACCTACATAATCTGGCAAAAATCTCATTGTGGCAAAATTAAGAATTGATGAGGTTTGTTCTGTTCCATAGTTTTTTGTTTTGTTTTGTTTTGTTTTGTTTTTTCTCCCCACACCCACCCACTACCCTTTTTTCCTTAAAAGAGCCTAAGGGCTGTACCATGCTTCTCATTCCCCGTTTCTGTCAAAGACCCTACCATCTTCTCTTGCCCCTTTAGTAAAACTTATCTCAACTTCTAATATTTAAAATTCTCCACTGTAAAAGTTTTAGCTTTCTTAAACTAATTTAAACGCTTTGTTAACTAGTGAGAGGTTGATTTTATTATGGTGATTGTTACTTTGGGTTTTTATTTTTAGTTTCCTGTTTGTTCTGGTTGGATGGAAAGGGAGACCTTCTTGGCATTTGAAACTATTTTACTTAAATATATACCTTCTCTTCTTATAAAAACTAAACTTCATTCCTTTTCCATTGGATCGCTGGTGTCTTAACAGCCCATGGTCACTTTCTGCTTCAGCCTCCGATGGGAACCTTCTAAAATGTTTGGACGTATCTTCCCTGGGGAATGTCAAACCATTCTGGTCAATTTCTACACAGCATAGATTAAGATTCTTGGGGCCACTCGAAATTTTGAACCCCCATCTGGCAAATATAATACTCCCAGGGCAATTGAGAATTAAAATAGTATGCACAGGAGAAAGGAAAATATGTAAAACATCCATACATTGGACAAAAACTGGAAGATAAGTGTAAAAATAACAGTATCAAGATGGTGGAATTATGGATGCACCCTTTTATGGAAATTGGTGATGTTATATTTTATGTAAGAGAGAACACATTAAGAAATGCCAATCACCTTTAATATCAATATCCTGAAAAGATAGAGTTTGATTATGAATTGAAGATGCTTCAACTTTGTTCACTACTTCCAATTTGTTAGAATCCCTTACCAGACCTCTAATGGCAAAAAAAAATAATATGACATATAGATTGACATTAATAACAGAAATTTTACATTTCAGCTGTGATTTCATCACTGGGCTCATTCTCATTCTTTTAAATACCACAGCAAGAACTAGATTTTCTTTCTCCATCCAGTTAAATTCCTTGTTTTGTCCTGTACATTTTCCCGTATTCAAGCCCGGTCCCAAATAGGGCATGAGTAAGATAAAATATGTTTTTTAAAGGTTTTATTTATTTATTTGAGAGAGAGTTCACAAGCAGGGGGAAGGGGCAGAGGGAGAAGCAGACCCCCTGTTGATTAGGGAGCCCAATACAGGGCTCAATCCCAGGACCCTGGGATCATGACCTGAGCCAAAGGCAGTCATTAACTGACTGAGCCACCCAGACACTTGCTTAAGAGTAATATAAAGAGAAAAGTAAGGAAGCTGTCAGATGGCAGGTGCTACTCAGAACAGGTCTTCACTTCACTATAACCCCAGGTTTAAATATTGAGATAGAATATTCATTCTTTAATTAAATAACCTAATAATCTAGGATGAAAAACTCTGATAAAGCAAGTTGCCTGATATATTTCTTAGCACATCTATTCAAGTATTTACTAAGTATCTAACTGTGTAAGACATGGTTAACTTGAAGATTAAACATAAAATATAAAATATGACGCCCACACTTTAAAAAACTTACAGTTGTACATGGGATATATCCTCAAGGTCATGAATCAGAGAAAGTGAGCTCGCTCTCCTGCCTCTGTGTCACCACAATGTACTTCTACCTTCTACCAACAGGAGCTGGTGAGTTATAAGAGGAGTAGCCCTTTTCATAGAAAAAGAAATGTAGCTTCTGAAGGAAGAGTGAGAATAATCCGATTTCAGGCAGCAATCTGGCGGCCCAGAAGCTCAGGGCAGATGGTAGACGGTGGACTCACAGGAAGCCGATTGGGAGTACTGAAAACTCTAAGTGCAGTTCACAGAGCATTCCAAAAGGACACTCTCACAGGAAACACAGAAAAACATGTGCTTTTTAATTTACACAGCTAATACCACTGGCATTATTTCGAGTAAATTCGTTATTAGTAATGATGAGTTCCACCAACTCTTTCATCCTAATCTGCTTTATGACCACAGTAGGATTTCTTTAAATCTCTTAAGTATTCTAAGTTCTAAAGCAACAGACAACATCTTACATTTGTACAATACTTTATAAACTTCAAAACGTTTTCACATATATTATTTCTTCTGATCTTCAGAGCAATCCCAGGGGCTAGGTCAGGCAGGTATTATTACCCCCTCTTCGCATATTAAGACACTGAGTCTCTAAAAGATCAAGGGATTGCAAATACCAAGGCAAAACTAAAACCAGTTTCTTCTGACATTCATCCTATAGTTGTTTCCTACCACACCATGAAGTCTTTCTCTTATCTCTTTACAGGCCAACATCTGAAGGAATTTATATAAACCACAGTGTCTTAAAGCGGTCTGTGGGGAACACTACCGTTTTCACCCCAAAATGTATCCCCCCTCCACGCCACCCCTACCACATCCTCCCTACCCCCACATAAGTAGCCCATAAAATTTCGGCCATGTTGTTGCCACCCCCACCTCTAAGCATGTTATAGTTGGTCTCTCTGACCAAGGAAGAAATGGAGAGGGGAATATCTGGGATCAGGAACCCTAGGGTAAAATGCTCTGATATGGTGTAATAATAATCTTGGCTTGAAAACATTAATGAAATGAGAATATGGTCAATTTCTAAATATCTAAATATGGATTATCCCAATCCAAATGTTAATCCTAGACCAGCTTCTATTCTCCACCCATCAAAATGCTGGATCATCTCTCTACAGTCAGTTATTCTGCATTCAAGAATGGAAAATTAATTTTAATATTAGCTTAGGAGAAAAACAATTAAGAAAGAAAAACAGAGGGAATTATAAGGCTTTCCAAAGCCAATTATAAATTATTTTTAATTAGCAACTTTTAAATTATTAATAGTACCTATCTCTCTCCATTTACATATATAATTAAAAGTTAATTGCATTTAAGTTTTTGAGGATGTTTGTCTATGGAATATTTTATTAGACTATAATAATAAGAATCTTAGAGTTAGAAAATACTTTTGGGGGGCGCCTGGGTGGCATAGTCGGATAAGCGTCTGCCTTCGGCTCAGTCCTGGGATGAAGCCCTACATTAGGGTCCCTGCTCAGCAGGAAGCCTGCTTCTCCCTCTGCCTGCCACTCCCCGCAGCCTATGCTCGCTCACTCTCTCTCTCTGTCAAATGAATAAATAAAATCCTAAAAAAGAAAGAAACAAACAAACAAACAAAGGAAGGAAGGAAGGAAGGAAGGAAATACTTCTTGGTCCTTGTTTGAGTCAGTAACTCATTCTGTAACCATTATAACCAAGCTGCTTAGGATTATATATAACCTAGAGTAGAGCTTGGTCCTTACAGAAGTGAAATTTGAAAGGAATTGTTCCCCTTTTCCCTTTGTAAAGAGGCAATTAAAACTCTATAATAACAATAGAGGATCCAGGGTGGCTCTGTCTCATGGGTTAAGCATCAGACTCTTAGTTTCAGCTCAGGTCATGATTTCAGAGTCCTGAGAGCATGCCCTGCCTAGGGCTTCATGCTCAGCATGGCATCTGCTTGAGACTCTCTCCTTCTGCACCACCGCCCCCAACTCGCACATGGTCATTTTCTCTCTCAAATAATAAATAAATAACAATAAAGGAATGGGGAAGATGATAATGGAATTATTAGAATAATTAACAAGTCAATAACTGTTTATTCTGTTAAGATATAAAGAAACCATTTAATATTTTAAAACCACCTTCTCAAATGTTGGATCAGTTTATAACCTAAATATATTGACAGTTTAGTCTTTCTGACCAAACCTGATTGTTTGGTAGGTTTCTGCACGCTCCTCTTGTGGAAGCGGGCAAGATAGGATTTACACAAAGGTAAGGAGCATTTCCATCCCGGTCACCATAGTCTAATCCCTATCACCACTGTGAATATTGCTGAAGCAAAATTTCACATCTCCATCCATTTGAGGAAAAATTGGTTCTTTTCCTTGATATTCTTTTATTATAAACACATTTATTTTCAGACAAAGTTACTTTCTGAGCAGGATCCATTGGGACAAAATGCTACGGAATTCATTCTAATGGCAAATCTAAAATAGTGCCACTGTGATTTTTAGGACTTGAAAAGGAAAATAGCATAAGAAGCATTTTATGTCACCTCAATTCTTTGTATTCTCTTTCTTATAATGGCAAGGAAAATAATTTTCAAATATTCTTCAAAGTCTCTTTACCAGTATTCAGTAATCTAAGCTAATCTCTTTGAACCTCTCACTTGAGTTTCAATATTTGGTACTGGTAATCACTTATTTCGGTTGGTTCAAACTCTGAGTTTTC